GGAGCAGCATCAGACTCATTCTGACTAGAATTGAGTCGGACTACGTCAGGCTAAACATTCTTACTGGTTGATAGATGATCAAATACTTATTTCACACAATCAAATGGAAATTAATTATTTAAAAATCACTCACAGTTGAAGAGTACCTATGATAAAAATTAGTCTTCTACAAGCTTTGCAAGCAGGAAAACCTGAAAACTCGACAGTGTATCAAATACTTGTTCTCCCCACTGTAACAGAGGCTCTCGGCCATTTTAAAACCTTGAGCAAAATTCACCTGAATGGATCTTGGTCCAACCAGGATTTGAACCGAGGACCTTCTATCCTTAAAATAATGTTAATGTTAATCACCAATCCAGGAATATTTCTAACTCACTAACAACATCCACCTTTTGGATTAATGGGCTTGTTAAAATTGGTTTACTGTTATAATTAATGCACACGTGGATCCTGTTGAGACTTCTGCATGAAGGATGGAAGAAAACAACATCTGGATGAAGAGAAGAACAGGCTGGTTATGTAACACTGGGCCCTGCAGAACAGCCAGCTGAAAAACAACTGGACACTCATTCAGCCAAACCCTAAAAGAATCAGAAGTTCAGACTCTGACCTCGAAAGGACTCTGATGCATCAGTAAAATAGACGTAAAAAGTAAAAAAAAAAAAAGAGAAAATTATCTAAAATAAGAAAGTAAAAATGTTAATATAAAGCCAGTGAAGAGTCCTGCTAACTAACCCAGGCTGTGATAGTCTGGAAACAGAAAACAGAGTTTGAACGTTTACTTACGGTTAATCTCCATTGCATAAACTGTCCATCAGCAGCAGATGTCAACAGAAGAAAACATCATTAATCTGTGATAAAAGCCTCTGATCCTAACAGACAATAAATCTGAATTAAGATCAAAATGTCTTCATGATCAAGATGAATATGAGGCAATGCATCAACTTCAGAACAGATGTTAGAACGTTGCCCCCTGCTGTTCAACAAACATACTTCAAAGGCTGAGTATTAAAGACTTTCATGGATTCACCAGATAAAGTAAATGTAAATATTCAGTTTTAGATGGAAAGACTCAGAAAGTTGTCAGATAACTTGAGTCCCTTCAGATCTGTCTGATTTCACCTACTTGGCAGCTGTTTCCACTGATCTATCACTCAGGACTCCATTACGCCACAGGGCTGATCCTTTATGTAAACAAGTCATTAAGCAGGTGACCCTAAACTTAAACACAAACTTAGCTCAAACCTGTTAAAGTTTTAATACCAGATCAGTCTCTAAATGTGTTGCCAGCCAGATTAGATATTTATTAAAGCTGACGTGTTGGAAATGTGAGCGCAATTAGAAAGTGATCAGTAATTATTTTGTGCAATTCAGTTTTAACATTTACAACCATGGCGGCGGGAAGTGGGGGGTGCTGCAGCACTCTCTAGTGGTGACAGGGACATTTTAAAAAAAAATTATTAAAATACTTTGCACAATTTATAAATGTGAGCAAGGTATTTCACCTTTTTTTTTAATTTTACTATTGCATGTATTTGGATTTTAATTTCATTACTTTGAGGCATAATCAACACTAGTTCATCCTAGTCATCCTGTGATGGATGTGGAGAACCGTGCAATAATCCTTAAATAGTATAATTATTTCTTTGCTGTTTGCATAAAAGGATTTTGGAGCTAAAATTGTTTGGTCAGAATATTTAGATTTCTTTTCTTTCATATATTTAGTTATACTATTTATCCAGTGAAAAATGTTTTTAATCAGTTTGTTTCACCTTATTCCCAGAAAAGGCCAGATTGTTTCTCAATGTTTGTTAATTTGTTTTGATTCTGATACAACCTTCACAATTGTTTTCATTA